TCCAGAGGTAGCTAGCTAAGGATTCCTTATTTAATTATCAATTGATTGATTTGTTGGGGGGGGGGGGGGGGGGGTTTATAAATCAAGGGACTACATTATGGCAGGTCAAGTGCCCTTCAAGAGTTTCCGATTTTGTCCGTTTCCTCAATATGTCCAGTAAAAGTATTATAAAGCCAACCTGAAAAGTCATGACAAATCCTATCCCAGGTCAAGTGCCCTTCAAGAGTTTCCGATTTTGTCCGCTTCCTCCATATGTCCATTAAAATGAATTATAAAACTAAAATCATGACAAGTCTTATCCCAGGTCAAATGCCCTTCAAGAATTTCCGATTTTGTCCGTTTCCTCCATATGCCCACTAAAAGCACTGTAAACCTAACCTGAGAAGTTGCGCAGGATCCTATCTCATGTTAAATGTCATGATTTTAGCTTTATATTTCTTTTTAATAGACATATGGAGGAAACGGACAAAATCGGAAACTCTTAAAGGGCACTTGACCTGGGATAGGACTTGCCATAACTTTTCAGGTTGACTGTATAATATTTTTAGTGGACACATGGAGGAAACGGATAAAATCGGGAACTTTTGAAGGACACGTAACATAAGATAGCACTTTGCGCAACTTTTCAGGTTAGCTTTATAGTGCTTTTAGTGGACATATGGAAGAAACGGACAAATTCGGAAACTCTTGAAGGGCACTTAACTTGGGATAGGATTTGTCATGACTTTTCAGGTTGGCTTTATAATGCTTTTAGTGGACATATCGAGGAAACGGATAAAATCGGGAATCTTTGAAGGACATATAATATGAGAAAGGACTTTGCGCAACGTTTCAGGTTAGCATTATAGTGCTTTAGTGGACATATGGAGGAAACGGGCAAACTCGGAAACTCTTGAAAGGCACTTGACCTGGGATAGGACTTGTCATGACTTTTCAAGCTGGTTTTATAATGCTTTTAGTGGACATATCGAGGAAACGGATAAAATCGGGAATCTTTGAAGGACATAAAACATGAAATAGGACTTTTCAGGTTAGCTTTATAGTGCTTTTAGTGGACATACGGAGGAAACGGACAAACTCGGAAATTCTCGAAGGGCACTTGACCTGGGATAGGACTTGTCATGACTTTTCAAGTTGGCTTTATAATGCTTTTAGTGGACATATCGAGGAAACGCATAAAATCGGGAACCTTTGAAGGACATATAACATGAGATAGGACTTTGCGCAACGTTTCAGGTTAGCTTTATAGTGCTTTTAGTGGACATACGGAGCAAACGGACAAACTCGGAAATTCTTGAAGGGCACTTGACCTCGGATAGGACTTGTCATGCCTTTTCACGTTGGCTTTAAAATGCTTTTAGTGGACATATCGAGGAAGCAGATAAAATCGGGAACCTTTAAAGGACATATAACATGAGATAGGACTTGTCATGACTTTTCATGTTAGCTTTATAGTGCTTTTAGTGGACATACGGAGGAAACGGACAAA